GTGCGCGTGGCAGAGCGGGTGTAAGTCATGAAGATTAAAACCGATGGAACTAAGGAATGTAGTTTGACTGAACACTTTCCATAAGAAATAGCGATAGAGAAGCTTGCAATGTTTCGTCAGTGAGGAAGCGGTTGTAGGATAGAAAATAATCACCCACAAGGACGCGGAGACGCTATCGAGACTGGAATGTGAAGCAAGTTAATATCCAGAATTTATATATGATTATTGCTCAAACTATTTAGACTAATATCCTCATCTTTACTATCTGAATTTATGAGCTGAGGATTTTCTTTTTAATCATTTCCCCTCAAGCAAGGCGATAAAGCTACTAAAACGCAAGGGGTTACTGTGAGTGAAAGACAACGAGAATACTTTAGTGGGGAGGAGTGAGGAGAAAGGACAGTAAAAGAACAGGTTTCAGGAAGACAGACGATGGCGATTGGGGTTCTATTTCAATTTAAATAGATTGTAGGTGACAGGAAACAAGAAACCGGCAGGGAGTTCCACAGACGAGAAGTGCGAGAAAAGAAACTATCAGTATAGAACATACGGTTGCATCTAACGAGTTTAACAGTAAAACAGTGATACCTACTTGCCAATCTAGTAGCACGCTTCAATTCACGCAGTTGAGGCACGAAGGCAGAAAGTTCATCAGAACAATTGCCATAAAAATATTCATAGAAAAGACAGAGTGAAATTATATCACGGCAGTGATATAATTGTGAAAGTGAAGACTGAAGTCGAGATGCCAGGTCAGGACCGATAAAATGACAGACCCTTTATTGAATTTTCTCATCATTATTATGCATTGATCTGTTTGTGTTACCGTTCTCATCTTATTCATAAGAAGCCATCACGTGATAGTCCTGTAATACTGTTGTGGATAAAAGCCTTAAGTGTATGATGCAATGATCATGAGTTTAATCCCTCAGTAAAAAATTATATACTCTAGTATAGAATACAAAAGCGCCATCATAAAACTAAATTGGTGTAAGTGAACTAAGTATGGGTAGAATCAAGTGTCCTGTAGGCCATTAGGGTTGTAAGAGATCAACATGTAATTGAAGCCGTTTAGAACAAGATAAGATCGACGTGCTCCCCCTCCTTGGAGTGGGTGTACGCGGTTTATTTATCATCTCTCAGTTGCGTCTCTGTCCTTGGACAGAGTGCGCTCAGGGGCTTCTCAGTCTAAGGACAGAGGGGCAACTGAGAAAATAATACTGAAGAGGTGCCCAGCCCTGGGGAACAGCTGCCCGAGGCCACACCCTTCCACAAGATGGAGGGATCGTTGCTCGCACCGAGGCCAGCGCAACCGACGCGCCCGGTCCCCACATTAATCCGACTTTGTGTCACATCTCCTTCTCGTGGGGAAATGGGTAAATACCAGAACAAGATAACCTGACGGAACCCATCCCTATTCAGGCTGATTTTAAATCCAACTTTCCCCTAGACTGGTTGTCCTGAGAAGTCCAAAGAGGCCAGTCTGCCCTATTATTTACGAGTTACTCCATTGAAGACTTTTCTTTCTCGTAGATTGGCTGCAACCCAAAGCAAAGCCTAATGACTTCTGCTATTTAACCCATAGCTCGAGATAGATGGACCTATGCCTTTTTGAAGACATTAATGCGAAATAAACGAAACAGATTTGGTCAGAGTTTGAACTCGGAACGCCGACTCCACTTTCCTGGTGGATAACACTTACGCCAATCACACATTGACAGCATGAACAGTGAAACGAAAAAACTCTACAGCGGAGGATTGAATAAAGGATTAGTTTCGAAATCCCCAAAGTGTTATCGTCTAAAACAGACATCGGAAGAAGGCCTGAAAGGATAACAGCCGAATTGTTGTGCGTAGAAAAACCGAAATGAAGACAATGGTTTGAAACGGACAATGTGATGACTCTTTTCCTACAAACCCAGAGTGGATGACATTCACCGCCTGACCCAAGAATTGAAGTACGTGTTCATTGTTGAACAATCACGTGGTCAAGATAAGCACTCAGTTGTGGAGCAAGCTGAGTGAATAATAATTCAACATTAAGAGAGCTATTTATGGTGCCATGGAGCATCTCATTGTGCTAAAGTGGAATAGTCCATTGCTTGGGCTGTGATTGGCTGCTGGTACATGAGTGGAAGCATTTCTGTATAAATACCAGCTTGATTCATCAGTTAGTTTGCAGGGTTTGTATTAAGTTACAACCTGCTTTATTTTTGTCTGCTAGCTAGACGCTAGCTGGGACCCTTACGCCGGTAAGTGCTGTTTATTATTGTTATTCTACATTCATGACAAACAATTTTCTTAGGACACTTTCATTGCAAAAAATATAAGATCTATATAATATGAAAATCATATAGCCTATATAATGTGTAAATCATACAGTCTATGTATGAAACCTATATAATGCGAAAATTATATAGTTTATATAAATATGAAAACCATATAACCTACATAATGGGAAAATCCTATAGTCTATATAATGTGAATTTCATATAGTCTATATAATATGAAAATCATCTAACCTATGTAATGTAAAAATTATATAGTCTATGTAATATGAAAATCACATAATCTACATAATGTGAAAATTATATAGTATATTTAATATGAAAACCATATAACCTACATAAGGTGAAAAATCATGTTGTCTATATAATGTGAATATCATATAGTTTATATACTGTGAAAATTAGTTAAACCTAGAGAGCCAGACAAACCGGCCTTCCCTGACGATCCGCTTAGGTGAATGAAACCTTGGTAGGTTTGTCTGGCTCTCTAGGTTTAACTAGGTCTGCTCTACTCACTGTATTGAGCACTTTATTTAGATATTTTGGGTACTCGCATCGGGGTTTTTTCTTTGGGCCTTGAACTCGTATGCTGGACGATTATTTTCGGTTAACGTACATATTCTTGGTTCTTTCGTTTTTTTTTTATTCCTTTTTTCCCCCTTTGGTATTGGCTTTTTTATTTGCAAATCAATATACCAAAGGTTTTCCGAGCGAGTATAGTTTCTTATAAGATTTCTATTAATAATACTGTGAAAATTATATAGTCTATATAATATGAAAATCATATGACCTATATTATATAACTATATATAGTCTATATAATGTGAAAATTATATAGTCTATATAATATGAAAATCATCTAACCTATATTATATAACTATATATAGTCTATATAATGTGAAAATTATATAGTCTATATAATATGAAAATCATATAACCTATATTATATAACTATATAATATAGTCTGTAACAGACTAAAAACAGGATCTCAAAAACCTTGTAAATATGTTACGAACCTTAGAGTGGACAGCAGCCTATTCCTATGGATTGCTTATTGGAGTCGATTCGAAATGCCTAAAGCATGCCGAATATGACACACACCTGATGAAGTCTGGAGATTACAGCATTCGAAACGTTTTGAATGTAACAACCTAGATTAAAACTCTCGTCCATGTTGATCAATGTGTGATCGTCTTTTTTGTTTTGTTCCGTTTCATTTTTTTTTATCATAATGGTTTGTCAGATGTGTTCTTCAACCTTCCTCAGATGTGTGTTGTATCTTATCATTCTTAACTGTTGTCAAGTACTTTTTTTATCACCTTAATTGGAGGAGCTTATAGAGAACACTAAAAGTGCCGTACTCGAAAAAAATAATAATTGTATCCAGTGCGATAATTATGTATAAATGCGAGACCTCATCACTTGGATCTTTTTTTTACAGTAAGGTTCACCCTGTACAAAGCCTGGAAGCCACTCAAGGTAGAGGTTATGTTAAAGGCAGTTTATAGGGGGGGGAGTTAACGGTTAACCTTAGACTTGAACAGATTAAGATTGTAGTGATCGGGAAGCATCTTCTTGGGAGTTGGTTTCACAGATCAATGGTTCGACGGAAGTGAAACTTCACACTGATGGAATATGGAGGGAATGTGGGTGATTTGCTACAATATATGTGTCATGGCGGGTCCTAGACCCGTCGGGACCAAGGAATGTAGTTCGTCAGAGCACTTTCCATGGTAATAGCGATAGGGCAGTGAGAGACTCGCCACATCCCGCCCGTGAGAAAGAGGTTGGAGGGTGGAAAATAATTCGTCATCCAAAAGGACTCGGAGACGCTTTTGAACACTATCGAGACTGGAAAGTGAGGACTGGGAAACTCTCGCTCAAGTATGACAACAGAACTCCATTTTCTGCAAATCAAGCGTCTTTTTCCTTCAGCAATCCAGAAGTTTGGCATTGAAATGCGCAACTACGGACAGAATCCCCAGAAGTAAACGCACGCCTTTTTGCCGCGTCATGCTTGAAGAATTGAACATAGTTGAGAAGGAACAGGTATTGTATTTGGATCGTAATCCGAAGGAGAGATGTATCACTGGCTGACATTGATCCTGGCTAAGCGCACAGATACTACAGTGACCATCCGCAGAGCGCACATATATTATACTGACCTCATCTGGGCACACAGATACTACACTGATCATCGGCAGATTACACAGATACTCCATTGATCCCCAGTAGAGCGCACATATATTATCCTGATCTTATCTGGGTGCACAGATACTACACTGATCCACGGCAGAGCGCACAGATACAACACTGATCCGAGCCGAGAAATGTCGATCTACACATAAATAATCGTTTCATTTTTGACGGGCAGTAATTAAAATAAAGATATTTTTATCAGAGCTTATGAACCTATTTTGATCAAAACAACTATGATAAGGATATTAATCAGGAAGATTCATGGAAATATCCAAATACTTTTTGAGATATTTAAATTAAGAGAAAGACGTGCAGGTAGCGTATCGGTTATCGGTTAGAAAAATAGAATCGGTGGGCCCACTTCAAATCCCTGTCTACTTTGTTGCGTTCACTTTCGCACTAATGCCCGTTTACTCCCATCTAAGGGTTAAATAGTAGGGTACACTGAGCTCGTTAGAATACGCGTACACATGCACGCACACGTATATATATCCATATCTATATCTATATATCTATCTATAGATAGATAGATAGATAGATAGATAGATAGATAGATAGATAGATAGATATAAACAATTAATTGGAACAAAACCTGAACGGGTTTTTCATGATTTGCAATGAAAACGTAGATGTCTTGTCTTGTGCGCTAACCATTAAGTCTATGTTTCTCAACCAGTGCGCCTGGCGTACTAATGCGCCCGGCGTACTAATGCGCCCGGCGTACAAATGCGCCTGGCGTACTAATGCGCCCTGGAATGTAGCCAGGTGCGCCCCAAGGTAACAGAAGAGTAATTTATTAATTATTTTTATTTCTAAAAAGTCTTCATTTTTAAAAAGCTAGAGACACCAAACACATGGCTTCCATGTTTAAGTGAAGGTTTTGTCATTTGATATTTAAAACTAGATGCTAAATTCCTTAATCTTTAAGAAGGAGTGGATAATCTTTTCTCTTTTGCCTTCTGCGATGGATTTGAATCCGTCATTATCGGCCTCTCTAAAAAGAAAAATAACAGATTCTTCATAAATATATTTCAATGAAAACGCCGCCGCTTAAATATAAAATGTAATGTCTTAAAATAAATGCTTATTTCAGGAATTATTTTTTATTATTTTCATATTTCATGAATAATTTCTCATTATTAAAACTTAAAATGCGCCCCCCAAGGTTTAGTTATTCTACAAGTGCACCGTGAAGTAAAAAAAATGATTGAGAAACACAGCATTAAGCTATCAACTCGACCAATGTAATGTTTGCATATATGCGTTGGATATGTGCTCCAGTTTTGTCATGTGATATAACTGGCCAGATCTTGTTGGTGTTATTTTTAAATCGAGCCACTTTCTTTGCTTCGTCATTTCTCGTCTGGATTTTGTTGTTTTTATTTTCCTAGGTTGTGTGTGTGTGTGTGTGTATGTCTGTGTGTGTGTGTGTATGTCTGTGTGTGTGTATGTCTGTGTGTGTCTGTGTGCGTGTTTGCAGTGGCGGAATGGCCCTACGGGAGACGGGGACATTTCCCGGTGGGCCCCAAAGACATTGTTCATCACTTTCAAAAATAACCGAAAAAGTGAAAAAAAAAAAAGCGAAAAATATTGCGTAGATGCTGGGAAGATTTCAATAAGACCTCTTTGATGCTCTAATTTCTTTCGGTAGATAATAGTTATCACCAGTTCCTTGTTTGATGAAGTTTTTTCCCCTCTTTTTAAGATGAGGAGACTGATTTTGCAATAAAGGGGGAATTCAGAAAGATGAGAACATCAAGAAAGAGACGAATGCCTGGTGAACCCAACAGGGATGAAAGAATTGATGATCCAGTGAATCGCTAAAGGGATTAAGTGGATCCTTTTGACTGGGCTCTTTTACAAGTTTTCCCGGGATAAATTTTAGACCCAGTCCGCCAATGTATGCCTATGTGATTAAACACATTATCATTTTTTTTTTTCTCTTATTTACTTTCTGTGTTAAACGGATTTTTAAGCGGTTCATCACTAAAAATTAAGTCGAGCAATCTCCTCAAAAAGATTTCGTTTTCCCTGTAACAAGATGATAATCCACACAACGATTGATTTAAATAAATAGGTGCTTTAGCCACCCGTTACATTTTTTTTTTTTAATACGTCAATTTTTTCTATTCATTGGCACGGCTCCTAGCTAGACCAAAAACAGCGACAACCAAAATTTACCCACATAACTGGCGGGTGTGAAGAAATGGTATAAATATCAACAATGCGATATTTTATTCTTGCTTTTATATATATATAACGGAGTAACAAGAATTGTGTGGTTGATACACGCGTGTGTGAAAGTTCAGTCACTAAGGGGAAAGATATTCCCATGCTCAGAAAGATTCTGGTTGATATTATCATTATCACATACTAAAAGGAAAAGAGAGAAAAGAGAGCGAAGACTGGAAGTGTCCCGTTTTTAGAACTGCTTAACCGCGTCGCCTAACGACATCTTGGCAGAAACTAAGTCAGGGTAATCCACAATTCTATTCATGGTTGAGCAAATATATATATATATATATATATATATATATATATATATATATATATATATATATATATATATATATATATATATATATATATATATATATATATATATATATATATATATATATATATATATATATATATATATATATATATATATATATATATATATATATATATATATAGTACCTCGAGGCAGTGTAATGGTTAGCAAACATGTCTCGCTAGAACAATTACGACTGAGTAGTGAGTTCGATCTTCACTACTTTCGGCCTTATCTAAGCTACGCTTAGAAAATCACTATATATATATATATATATATATATATATATATATATCAAATGAGAGAAGGAACAGATGGGGTAAAAGAAAGTGCTCAATGCAAAGTAGACCAATATATTATTATATTTTTATTATAAGAGATTATAATAAAAACATGTTGAAATCGCTGCTCAAAAGACTTCATGTTTTAGTACTATGACTGTACTTCTTCAGGTGATTAAATGGTTTTTAAGGAAATTTAAAAACAGTTAAAGTGGGTGGGGGACATAAGGTCAGAATTAAAAATAGACATGTGGGTATGTCTTGATTAACCAATTAAATGTTAGATCTACACTAAATAGAAAATTAACCTCAGAGGGTGAACATGGGAGTATTATTTTTTCATGTCACGATAAACCGTAACATAGACATGCCATAAGTGACAATTGCGGAAAATATTTGTCGCTGGCATATTTTATATATATATATATATATATATATATATATATATATATATATATATGCGGGTAAGTAAAAAATTATCCGCACTTTCGGCATAGCATGTCTTTAGGTTTGTCACACTACTTTCTGCCCATGCGTAGTTATTGTCCCGCTTTGGTGCACACTGCCAGAGTAGCGGCCATGTTTGCACTGTAACAATAGCAAGAAAGCTGGCATGATCAAGATTAATCTTCGATCACGTGGCCACAATAGTACCAATTATAAGCGCACATGAGCAGTGCATTTTCTAATAAGAAAATATTCAAAGAAGCTGGCGATGTGAATATAAACAGAGAGAAAGGATACAGAATATTCAGAACATCTGCTAAACGCATGAAAACAACCAGCCTGCCACTTTTAAATGAACGTCACAAAGAGAAACGGGTAACTCGGGTGGAGAACATGATTTCTCCAAAGTGATTTTAATGATGAATGCAAAGCTACATTGGTTGGACTCGTTGTCTGAGCTAAAGGTTAGGTTCCTTGCTGGGAATAGACAACTAAAACAAATTCGAAAACAATGATGGCAGAGGTTGAGTAATGTTTTGAACAAGTATTCTACGCTTTGAATTTATTGGTTCCGTCAAAGGAACTTGATGACAGAGTCAAAATAAATGCCGTCAATTTTTGCACATTCTTGTTTTCAACTTTTATTTTCTCCTTCCGTTTCTTTCTTTTTTCTTTTCTCTGAACTAAAGACTTCAGGACAATACGTAGCCAGCAAAACTGACTATAGCTCACTTTAACAAAAATGCTCCCAAGAGGCCAGATTACTGAAATAGGCGACAATCTCCGGAAAGGTTGGAAAATTTGAAAACTTGTAGTGTCATCTTTAAAACTGATATATAAAAAAAATATATCAGGTCACTCTGCAAGTGGTACTGGTACCATCTAACTCAGTACCATCTGCCGCATGGTCGAGTCATCGGCAAATAAGTTTACTTACCGTATATACTCGAGGACAGTGCAAGCTTTTATGATAATTTCTTACGCAAAAATAGGGAGTTGCACTATACACAGGTAATTTTCCTGAAGCGGTTAAAAATCATGCATTTTCGTTTACTGGTTGTACTATACACAGGTAAATCTTTTCGGGGCTGGGGGTAAAATTCATGCATTTTTGTTAAGCGGAACCTATTTAGTAGGCCTACATTCTCATGATATCATTGGCTAACCTTATGCTCTGATTTTGTGTGTGTGTGTGTTTGCTCTTTTAAAGAAACTGTTTATATAAACTTAATAAAGAAAATAATTCGAATCAGCCTCCCCCTTTGTAGGTGAAACCACTATCTGATCCGACCTGCATTGATCGTTCGGCTACGGACAAAGCCACAGCCAAGTTAGGTTCCGTTTCCCTTAAAACATATTCACACGTTCAGATTTTTCACCAAAAAAGCCATCTCTGCTCAGTTTCGTATATATATATATATATATATATATATATATATATATATATATATTTTGGATTTTTAATGTAACTATAACAACAAAAAACATTTCGATTTCATTTTTGCCTTGAAAAAGTCGGAAGACGAAACGCGTCGGCATAATCTAAAATTTTTTTCGAATTGTCATTTTATACCAATCTGGGAATTTAACTATATATATATATATATATATATAAGTATATATATATATATATGCATATATATATACACGTGTGTGTGTGTGTGTGTGTGTGTGTGTGTGTGTGTGTGCCGTATATCGTCGAGTTAGTGCGAGAATAAAAAATAGGGGGTCGCACTACACACGGGTAATTTTCTGAAGAGGTTAAAAAATCATGCATTTTCGTTTACTGGCTGCACTATACACAGGTAATTTTTTTTCTGAGGGGTTAAAAGTCATGCATTTTGTTGCCCGGCCTATCTGGTAGGCCTACATTCTCCTGGTAACATTGGCTAACCATAACGATACAGAGCCGCCCCGATAACACAGCAGACATTTAAACAACCTCAGTTTCTAACAAAATAAAGCAAAAAGCAACATATGTGTATAGACCACTTTTAATTACAATGACTTGAATTATCGTAATCTGAAGTATATACCTCAACTCGGGGGACACCCTGCTTTATGTACCAATAATCCTGACAAAAAGCTTGCCATTAGAAAGGCAATACCTCAGCGATGTAAACGAAGATGAATGCAAATTTGAGATAGGTAAAAATCTATTAATTCTTCATCTATATAAGGTATTTGTTGTTTTTAAGTGACATGCATAGTGGATGAGGTTTTGCTCTTCCTGTAGCGACAAAAGGGAAGAAAGGTTATGTAGGAGGCAGGCACAGGGTAAAGAAGCTCCCGTAGTCAGGCATGAACGAAAACAATCAGATATTTTACGATAAATGGGTTTTCTCACTTTGTACAAAAAATAATGAAAACCATTTATTTCCTATACAAATATATACAGGTTGATGCCTGCAATATTTAACTATCGCTCAGAAACTGGGGTCGCATTATACACAAGCATTATGAAAAAAAAATTTTTTAAAAAGAATATATATATATATATATATATATATATATATATATATATATATATATATATATATAAAGCTCTTGAAAATATATTTCAATTGAACACTGTTGAGAGGTAGACTGATTCTATAAACAGCAGCCGCCTACGCTAAAGCAAATCTCTTCAGTAAAATGAATTCAAGCACACTGACTGATTGGCGTTTGTTTACATTCGTAAAAACAATACACCAGAATTAGCTGTTTCTCTCTGCCGAGTGATGATAGCTTAGAGGTAGAAACTCAAATCGTTCGGTTTTAGGTCCTGGCTTGAGGCATTCGGATGTCTAGTCACACTGAGGAGCTGTGATACAGCGAAATAGTACTGTCTGCAATGACATATATATATATATATATATATATATATATATATATATATATATATATATATATATATATATATATATAAAGAACGAAAACTATTTATTTGCTATAAAATATCCCCGGGGTGATACCCAATACTGTAATATTTGACTACGGTAGTCCTTGACGCATGAACGAAAACAAAATTACAGTATCTAAATCTTCGTATCATATATTTTACGATAAATAGGCTTTCTCGCCATTTTGGAATAGCTTTGTAGAAAAAAATAATAAAAACCATTTATTCGCTATAAAATATATCCAGGACGATGCCTGCAATATTTGACTACGGTAGTCTGAATGGTATCGCTCAGAAACTGGGGTCGCATTATACACAAGCATTATGAAAAAAAATCAAGTGTTTGCAAAAAGATTATATATATATATATATATATATATATATATATATATATATAAAAGCTCTTGAAAATATATTTCAATTGAACACTGTTGAGGGATAGGCTGATTCTATAAACCGCAGCCGCCTACGCTAATGCAAATCTCTTCAGAAAAATGAATTCAAGCACTCTGACTGATTGGCGTTTGTTTACATTGTTAAAAACAAACGCCAGAATTAGCTGTTTCTCTCTGCCGAGTGATGATGTCTTAGAGGTAGAAACTCCGATTGACATCAAATCAGTCAGTTTTCGGTCCTGGCTTGATGCATTCGAATGTCTAGTCGCACTGAGGAGCTGCGATACAGCGAAACAGTACTGTCTGCGAATATATATATATATATATATATATATATATATATATATATATATATATATATATATAAAAAAAATGAAAACTATTTATTTGCTATAAAATATCCCCGGGGTGATACTCAATACTGTAATATTTGACTACGGTAGGCCTAGATGAATTGCTCTCAAACTGGGATCGCATTATACACGAACTAAATAAAAAAAATTAGATTTTTATTAATAAAAAGTCAACGGTCGTCCTATATATGAAGTAGGCTAATATACGAGTATATATTATAAGCTAATAAAATCTGACACCGGTATTTAACGATAGAAGAGGTCTATTATACTGTAGTGTAAATAAATGCATCGCTAATGACTTTACAATGGGGAGGCATTGAAAATCAGGAAGAAAGATTGGCAGCAGTCAGGATTTAATGCCAAATTGACAGAGGAAGGATATGCATTTATTTAATATTGAGACGAGTAATTGCAAAAAGGTTGCAACTGAAATAATCATAACGAGGTGGATTTAATTTCGTGTGATTGGCTAACAATTAGCATTTTAAAGGCTTACTGTCAATCTTTGTCTAAATATGTCATCAGTAGCAAGGTTTGTTGTGTAAATAATGATAAGATTTGATAAGTGTCGGGACAAGATGGTATGAGAAAGCTATCTGCCACGGGCCACTAGAAGTTGACAACAAAAGATTAACTGAGCTAACCAGTGAAATAGAAAGGGGGGGAAAGAAATCTAACAGAAAATAACACTGAGTCTGTTTATTTGACAGTGAGAAGAAGTGAAAAGAGAGGGAGCGTTGGGCGGGGGTGGGGAGATAACAATTATAGATGGGTGAAGAGGAAGAAGAAGAAAAACGAAGAAGAAAAAGAAGAAGAAGAAGAAGAGGAAAATGGCAGAAGAACGGCAGAAGGAAACGAACGACGAGAGAAGAAAAGAACGACAGAAGAAGAAAAAGAAGGGAATGAATGAGAAAAGGAGAAGGGAACAACATAAATAAATAAAAAGAAGAGAGCGAACAACGAAAGAAGAAGAAGAAGGGAAAACTGGTGACGAGAAAGAAGAAGAAGAAGAAGAAGAAGAAGAAGAAGAAGAAGAAGGGAAAACAGATGAAGAAAAAGAGGAGAATGAACAACCAGAAAAAAAAGAAGAACGAGAAGAGGAAAAAGAAAGAAACGGAAGGAGAAAATAAAAGTTGAAAACAAGAAGAAGATGACGAAGAAGAAGAAGAAGAAGAAGAAGAAGAAGAAGAAGAAAGAGTCAAAGAAGAAAAAGAAGAAACGTGGACGAAAAGAAGAAGACAATCTGTTCAAATAATTTTACATAATGTTGTTACAGTCGTCAGACGTAGCTTTTATCTAACAAGCTTATATGATGACTGTTGTTTCTAAAGAGATCTCCATCATCATCTCCACCTCCATCGGCCCCGATGCCACTGCCGCTACCCGTGATGCTATTAAACCTCAAGTTGTTGTAGTTGTTCTGGGTAGTGAAATGGTTGCAGCCCACAACATCAGCGACCGTTTCCCTAGTTTTTGCCCGCTTCCTTGACTCCTCCCTATTACTGACATAACTAAATCACTGGTAACCACCTTCATTTTATCTGTCGAGAATTCTTTGCTAAAAACATATTTATGCATTTTTATAACTTTCTATCTGTCGCTACCAGCGAACGGGTGAACGTATACAGGACTTATTAATTACAAACGAGAAATAGATAGATAGATAGATAGATAGATAGATAGATAGATAGATAGATAGATAGATAGATAGATGTGAGCAGATTTAAATAGATGTGCATATTAGAAGCAGACAGTCAGTCACATAGATAGATAGATAGATAGATAGATAGATAGATAGATAGATAGATAGATATGAGCAGATTTAAATAATGTGTATATTAGAAGTAGATAGATAGATAGATATGAGCAGATTTAGATATGTTCATAAAATAGATAGATATGTAGATAGATATGCATGTATATAGCTTACGTTTGCATTAATAATAAATAAATGCATATATGCGCGTGTGTGTACTGCGTAGCTAGCGGAGTGTGTATATATACGGATATGGGCATAAGCAGACACACACGCACACACAAAAACACATACACACACATATATAATATGAACAGAAAGAGAGAGACCGACAGACAGACATAAACTTCTCATATGCAATTCATATGCGTATAACTGGTGTGCGCATTCGAAAATACATACATACATACATGACTCCGAGCTTGTATGTAAATATAATGTGTCTGCATGCGTGTATGCATATGTGTGTGTGTCTGTGTGCATAGACATTTTATATAATGTGTGTGTGTGCGCACGCGCACGCGCGTGTGTGTGTTCTATGCAGAAAAATGTTCCCATGCCAAAATCATTTCCCTGGACAAATGTAGGCTACAGTTTTCTTTTTGCATATATATATATATATATATATATATATATATATATATATATATATATATATATATATATATATATATATATATCAGGTGTTCTTACATACACCCACTGGCGTGTGCATATAGACACACAAATACACATGTGCACAGGCATACACCAATACATACTTCCACAGATATGTGTTTGTTGGCGTATATAGGCATATATACGCATAATGTTTCCTTTGTATGAGTAAAAAAAAAAAGACAGAAAGCTAAGAAAGATAGAAAAAAGAAAAATAAGAGAGAAAGAAAGAAAGATAAAAGAGATAGAAAGAAAGAAAAAAAGAAAGACCAGAGAGACAGAAAGAAAGAAAGAAAGAAAGAAAGAAAGAAAGATAAGAGAGACAGAAAGAAAGAAAGAAAGATAAGAGAGATAGAAAGAAAGATAGAAACGAAACGAAAAAGTTCACCATGAATTAGTCAGACTCCGAAAGAGAACGCACTCAAAACGTATGCTCTTTGAATTGTATTTTTATATATATTCGCACACAATTTTCGCAGCGTCGTGCCCGCATGAACACACACACACACACACACACACACACACACACACACACACACACACACACACACACCTTTAAAACGCATAGAGTCATCCTTGTATATATGCAGGTCAATACACACGCGCAGTCACTTGATACCTGACCGCTATTCGACTTATTGTTCGTGGCCATATTGATTATTGCATTCTTTGTTTCTGAATTCACTCATCACCGGCAAGAAATCGGGGAGGTGGGGTGGCGAGAGTGCAGCTCTGAGATAGGATAAGACACACCCACACATAGAGAAAGGGTTGAGGATGAGCGATAGGGAGAGAGTGAGGGTGGGGAGAGGCGAAATGAAAGAGTGTGTAGAAGAGAAGGAGTAGGAGGAGAAGTTGGAGGGGAAGAGTTATCAGAATAAACATGGTTGTTGTATACAAGTGTGACAGTTAAGAATTACCACTGCGTAGGAAGTCGTCCTGGTGACGTCAAACGCACATCGCCAGTGCCTTTCTCTTTCTTTCTTTCTTTCTTTCTTTCTTTCTTTCTATATATTTAATCTTTCTTTCTTTCTAATTTATTCTTTCATTCTTTCTTTCTCTCTATCTTCCTTTCTTCCTTCCTTCCTTCCTTCCTTTTCCTTCCTTTCAAACAAAACTGCCACATTCTCTTTTTACATAATCATTCATTCTTTCTTTCTTTCTTTCTTTCTTTCTTTCTTTCTTTCTTTCTTTCTATATATTTATTCGTTCTTTCTTTCTTTTCATATATTTATTCTTCCATTCTTTCTTTCTTCCTTCCTTTTTTTCAAAACCACCATATTCTTTCTTTGTATATTCATTCATTCTTTCTTTCTTTGCACGTTTTTCTTTCTTTCATCATGCATGTTCGTTTTTCTTTCTTTCACAACGATCTTTTTCTTTTTTATAGATTATGCCTCTCTTTCTTTTTCTTTCTTTCTTTCTTTCTTTCTTTCTTTCTTTCTTTTTACAGTTTCTTTCTTTCCTTCCTTAACACATTTTTCTTTCATTCATCATACTTTTTCTTTCTTTCTTTTTTCTTTGCATTCTTTCCTTCTTTACAAATTCTTTTCCTTACTTTTTTCATTGCATGATGTCTTCCTTTAACACTAACAGCCACCTTTTTTTTCTTTCTATTTTTCTTTCTTCTCCCTCTTTCATAATCCATTTTTACCTCAGTTCCTTTTCTCTTTCTATCACATTAAATATCCTGCAGAAAACAGTAAATATTAAAAAAAAAAAAAAAAAAAAAAAAAACAGGAAAGAGAAAGAAAAAACTAAAAACTAAAAAAAAAAAAATTAAGAGTTATTTGCATTTCTCTTGGGTGAAACGATAATTTGAAAATTCAAATTTTCATAGTGCTTTAAGCTAAAATAATTGCATCGGAGTAGCAGTCGCGTTTTGTACTCCTACTATTTCTTTGCATTTTTCTTTCTTTCTTCTTTCTTTTGAAAGTTATCTATCCACAGAAAAATATGCAATTTCTACAATTATTTCTTTAAGTACGTAGGTGCATTTTCTCTTTTACAAATGAAAGCCATATTCCGTTTCTTTTTCTTTTACTTTATTCAGGTGAATGAAGTTATATATACCGACCCAAGGCGAGCAAGCACTTTTAAAATTAGTTGTATCTGATCTGGTGTAAGAAAGAGTGTCAAACTAAATCTAATTATTGTATAGGCATGTCTTTAATAGTTGAGTGGATCGGGCTCACCCTTTCTTTCTTTGTTTCTTTCTTTGTTTCTTTCTTTTTCTTTTTTTTTTTTTTTTTTTTTTCTTGCTGCTGCTGCTACCTTTAGAAATACTGCACCTTACAGTTCTTCCTCGTCTTTTGTGTGTGAGCGCGCATTGTAGTTGTCAACATCACGCTAGCCTGGTTTTTTTCCCCGCCACTTAAATAATTATCATACATTATTGTAAGTATTGGTTGGAGACCGATTTTCACTATATAAAGCTGTGTTGAGCCTCTTTTTACGCCGGTCGTTTCAATAGGATTAATTATTCCTAACATCTTTGTAGTGATGATGTTTTGCTTCGGCATGATGAAATATTTTGAAAGAAAAATTCCCGTAAATAAAAGACTGGTTATTGTTTGTCAATAACAATATAAGACCAGTAAAACATTAATGGAGATGTTGGTGATAGTTGCATCTTCAAGAAGATCATCTTTTATTTTAATCGATTTAATTTTTTTTACCGCATTTAGCATTTCTTTGTGAGAGACACAAATAATAATAATAATAATAATAATAATAATAATAATAATAATAATAATAATAATTGTATTTCACTTTTCTTCGTGATTTTTCTCATTTTAATTTTTTAATCTTGATTTTTTTTTTGTTGATTTTTTTTTCTTAGACATTTTTTTCATTTACTTTATTTTCTTATTTTAATTGCTTTTTCACCGACTTTTATCTACACTTACCTTCATTCATTCACTGTTTTTCTTTCTCTCTAGTTTTTCCTTCACATTTTTTTAAAGGTCTTTATTTTATTCTTCATTTTTACCCATCACATCTGATTTTTTTCCCTCTTCTTTCTTCCCTGCTATTCATCTCTCATTCTTTGCTACATTTCTTTCTCTCATTCTTTTCTCTCTCTTCTTTCAGTCATTTCTTTCTATCAGTCTTCCCTCCCCTTCCCTCTCTTTTTACGTCTTTCTTTTATTCCTCTAGTTCTTTCTCTCATTCTTTTTTCAAATTCAATCCTCTCTTTCCTCTCTTCCTTTTTCTCATTGTTTTTAAAGTTTCCTATTTCTTTTTTTTTCTCCTTCTCTTTCTGTTTTTTTTTCTTACTTTCTTTCACATTTTTCTTTTAAAGTTTCTCTCACTCCTTCCTTGCTTTGTTTATATTTCTCTTTTTTTTTATATTTCTTTCCTTCTTTTCTTCTCTCATTCCTCACTTTTCTTCCAACTGTTTTCTTCTGTATATTCTTCATTCTTTTCTCTGCTTCTCTATTCATTCTTTGCATCTTTTCTCCTGCCATTGGTCTACTCTTTTCTTTTCTTCCCTTCTTTCTCTCGTTCTTTTTCTCTCTTCTTCTCCTTTTCTCGTCCCTTCTCTCATTTTATTTATATTTTGTCTCACTCTTATTCATTCTTTTTTCGTTTATTTCTTCTTTCATTTTTTTTTTTATTTCTTTCTTATTTCGTTCCATTCCCTTCTTTTTTTGTTCCCTGTCAGTTCTTATCCAATGTCTTCCCATCTCTCATTCATCTCACTCTTGATTCTCTTCTTCTTGTTTTCATTCATCCTCTTCTCTAATTTTTTCCTTCTCTCATTCCTCTCTTTCCCTTCTTATATTTATTGTCTTCTCTCATTTCTTCTTCTTTTTCTCCTCCTCCTCCTCCTTCTTCTTCTTCTTCTTCTTCTTCTTCTTCTTCTTCTTCTTCTTCTTCTTCTTCTTCTTCTTCTTCTTCCCTTATTTTGTTTTCTTTCCCCAGTCTTTCCCTGCTTTTTCTTCATATCTGTCTTCTCTCATTCATTGTATTCCCATCTTCTGTCATTCATCTCTCACCTCTTCACTCATTCCTCCCTTCTTCTTCTTCTTCTTCTTCTTCTTTTTCTTCTTCTTTTTCTTCTTCTTCTCGCTGATTTCTCTCTTCCTATTTTCCTTTCTTTCTTTCTCTTTTCCATCGTTCTTTTCATAACAAGCCTTTCTTCATGACACTTTTTTTTTTTACAAAAAATGTCTTTTTGTCTTCAAATAAATTGTTACTAAACGTCCTTCCTTAAGTTTTTCTTTCATTATTTTGACTTCTTTCATTCTTTTTCTCTTTCTTTCATTACATTCACCGTTTTTCTTTTCTTTTCACTCTCCTTTTTTTAATTCTGCTTCTGTTTTCTTTTCTTTTTATCGATCCGTGCTTTCATCGTTCCTTCTATATTTCCTCTTTCATTGTTCATTCATCTTTTATTATTATTATTATTATTATTATTATTATTCATTCTTCATTCATTCTTTAATTTCTCTTTTTCCACCTCTCTGCATTTCCCTTTTCCAATTTTTTTCCCTTTATACAAGTCTATAATTTTCTTTCCTTCCTGCCCCTCTCGCGTTTCTCTTACTATTTATTTATCAGATCCTTATTTGTAAGCGTTCTTAACACTAAACAGCCATATTAGCTCGAAAACTAATAAAGGTGGAGATATCGACAAAAAGAGAAAAGAATCTTGGATTACACTTGCCTTTTTTTCACTGATTGATTTGAATTGCTACTAATAATATTGATATTCAACGAAACTGTATCAATCAGTGTATATGTTGCAATAGTATTAAGACTGTCTGAGCGTCGCTATTCTTTCTACATACGTCTGTATACAAATACACTGTGTCATATTTGCATCGATCTATGAAGTTATAGGCAATTAAAACTGGCAATAGTTAGCTATGATTTACTATGACAGTCGGCTTTGTTCGTTGTATAAAAGCTATTTTAATCATTCACCTGTCCGAACAAAAACTTGTTGCTTAGCACCCCCATCTCCTTGTTTTTGATTCTATTTCTTAAAACGTGTAACAACTTAGTGATTGTATATAATGGACGTCGTCAACTGAGATCTTTTTCTTGGTGTGGAGGATTTATTGATAGTAAGCAATATTTTTTTTTCTTTTTAAGAAACATTTTCAATGCATAAAATTACGTCATAATGTGTTTATTATATCCACACGTTACGATGACATCATCATATGACAACATTGATTTTTATTTTTTATTTTATATTTTCTTTTTTCTTTCTTCAAAGCACCCGCAGCGGACCATCTGGTAATTCTTTATTATTTATTGCAAGAATGGATTCTTTGCACACGTTCTTCTGATATATTTTTACTACAGAGGCTAGTACTTCTCTTTGTAACTGCAAATTATTGAAATATGTTGTTTAAGCATCACAAGAACTGATTGCCAATTGAACGATTCAACCAGACACACACAAGTTCGACTACGTTGTTTGGATAAAAGAAAACTTATTAAATATTTAAATGATTAGGGTTACATTGATAATTTATTAAACAATGTAGTCTTCAGCGCAAACTGGCCCTTTCTCTTAGGTTGAGTCATACGTAATTTCCGCCTTTGGAAACCAATTTTAATGACTGATTTCTCATTCTATGGGTTACATATAACAATGATCAATGTAAAAAACAGTGGATAGAGAAGGATACATACCTAAGACCAATATCAAAAGCCGAGTTCCAAGGGACATAAGCACGATTTATATTAATCGGTAAGAGGAAGAAGATTTAACCCAACATCTACCGAACCAATGAAATCAGCATATAATTCAAAATATCGGAACATTTTCTCGATGTCACTAATATATATATATATATATATATATATATATATATATATATATATATATATATGTAGGAGGCCCATGGCTAAGATACAAAGACAAGCTGAAAAGCAACTTGTCAGCAGTTAATATACCACATAACACTCTTGAGCGCTTAGCTTTGTAGCGGGTAGAATGGAGATCAACGGGTTTTAGTGGACTCAGAAATTTTCAATCTGCTTGTCTGAATCATCTTCAAGAAGTGAGAGCAAGATCTAAAAGGTCAGCCAATCTAACAGTGATCTCATCTTACAATCCTCACACTTGCTCCATATGTGGCCTCCTTTGTAAATCACTAGCGGGTCTTAAATGCCACTTAAGATTATCGCATAAACTTTCATAACTGAACCAATAAGCTGGCAGATCCTCATACGTCGAAACCGACGGGAGAGTCCATTATTATTATTATTATTATTATATAATCTTAAGGAGTCAAGCAAACCAACCTAAGTTTCACCTAGACGGATCTTCAGGGTACAGGCTGTACCTTGAAGATCCGTTTAGATTAATTACTATCTGTGTATATCATCGCTTGAACCGGTTTCTAATGCTCTAGAGTGAGAGGCTTGGTGAGAGTAGTCGTGGCTCCAGGGGGGACAGTCCTATGGTTACAGAGAACGCAGTATGGTTCCACCACGGAATATGTGAGCGAGCAGTGCTATGTTGAGTCTGATTTGCAACCTCTTCGTCGCCGAGGCATATTAGAACAGTTGGTATGATGTCTGCTTGACAACCTAACTGGCAGGGTTTCAATTCTCGGTAGTGGATGCGCACTGCTGATGAGTCCCAAATATAGGACGAAACGGCCGTCCAGTGCTTTCTTCATTCTGTTGAAGTTTCTATCAGAGTCGATGAATTACTTATATATATATATATATATATATATATCAAGAGTGAACAATGAGGTCAACACCGAGTGTTGACAATCTGTTTCATATCTGAGAACAAAGGTTGGTCAACACAGAGTGGAGACAGCCTGTTTTGAGAGCAAACTTAGATCAACACAGTAGCGACAGTCTGTTTGTTGCTAGAACGCAATATGTAAGACATGAACGAATCCCGGATACTGAGCACTTTAACCCCCAAACTATATATATATACTATGTTATCGCTCCCCCAGTGCTGTAGTACATGTGAACGTAGAGCGGTCGAGCGCTTTTGCGCTGTCACAGTTTGTTTGTGAGCTGTCGACCTTACTTTACGCTTTGGCATTGGAGCCTCTCTTTCGCCGGCTAAGAACGTGCAATCCGGCCTATTAGAACAGTTGGTGTCTCTAGTGGAGCCAGGATTTCCTAATACGCCGATGACATATCCATTTTCGTGCCACAATGATATTGATGTAGTGCAGAACGGTACGAGAAGGTCTCGGGGCCCAGATTAACCACAAGTCTTCTGGCTTGCGTTTAGTTGCTTGGAAGGGCGTTTCTCTTCCAGGGCCTTTCAGTTAGACTGACTGTCCTGTCCGTCTTCTTCGAGTGTTGGTTCGGGCCAGATCTCCAGCTAGAGAAGAATTGGTCGGAGCTACTGGCAAAGGTAGGTCCATCAATCCGGACTTGGCTCCGAAAGCGGTTGTCCTTAAAGGGCAGAGCTGAGGTGTGCTCTCTGTACATCATTTTCTTATCCTTTATCGGTTCTCGGTACTCCTCTCCGCGAGGACCGTAGGGAGGCAATCGAGCGTCCATGTTCCACGCTTGCTGAGTCATCGACAAGCCTCGAGGTTGGTTTTCCTATGCTGCGCATTGACTGAAAATTCGTTCTGGGCGAGGAGTGTTAGGGACGCCTTCCCTAGCCTTACTATCAATTCTCTCATTTCTGGGGTTGAGAACCATCGTAACCCCCGGAATCAGTCCGAATTCTTCACCGATGCGTGCTACTCCTCAGTCCAGTGACTTTCCCTGGACTAGGAAGGCATTGTATTGAGAACTAGTGGTGGGTGCGCTTCGTACCCACTATGTGTATGGCCCGACTTGTCGGTGATCGAGTTGAGCTCTTTCTGGTCCTAGGCGCCAGTGGCGAATTACCTCAGCAACCCTGAGTTTTTCGCTTACATGGCCATTGATCCGGAACACGCTATCGCTCAGAGATATGGCTTTCAAAGCGGGCTGGGCGGATATGGCCGATTGTCATCGGTGTGACCTTGGATTAGAAGAAACGGCTGTGCACACCTTCTACCACTGTCCTCAGGTACGCCCGTTCTGGGACTATGTCGGTGGGTTTACGGCTCGTATCGATCCCAAACATCTTGTGCCAGTCGTTCTTGCGTACGCGTGCGATAATGTGTCGCCCCCGTGTATTCTGGCATGAAACGGATGATGTTTCTGACGCTGGTAGCCGTGAGAAGAATGATAGTGTGGACGACGCGGATAGAGGTAATCTTACGATGCAAACATTATTCTCATCAGGATCTGGTTGGATTTTGGGGGGCATCAGCTCAGGATGAACATCAGAACTGATAAAAATCGTTTGTTTATCGGTAGATTTCAGCGAAAAGTGGGTGAAAGTCGAGAGTCTGGTTCGCTTTTATTTTCATTTTTTTTAGTCTCCTTTAGACAAAATGGGTCGGTTTCCTGACGGGCCCCCTCCCCTGTGTAAGCTAAACTCTTTTGTTTACCCCAGTTAATGTGAGCAATTGTTGTTCCCGGCCTGCGCCCAGCAGTCTCTTTTATCAAGTCAAGATTCTCAACCTTCCCAATTTTTTTTTGTCCTCTTTTTATCATGGCTGTATTAGCCTTTGACTTTCATATTTCGTAATTAATTATGTCCCTTCCATTCCATTAGCGAGTGACCTTCTTGATTCTGCTTAGCGGCAGAATAGAGTGGCCACTCTTATTTTTCTATGGGGTGGCCGGGTCCTACTAACATATTTTTTTTATATATTGAATGTTTGGTTGTACTTTATTTTCGTTATTGGGATCATCCCCTCCCTCCTCATTTCATACCACAATTATTTATTTTATATATTTATTTTATATATATATTTTATATATTTGTTTTATATATTTATTTTATATATATTTTATATATTTATATATTTATTTTATATATCTTTTATATATTTATATATTTATTTTATATATATTTTATGCATTTATATATTTATTTTTGTAAAATAAAATCGGAAATTATCAAATTTTTACGTCATAGTATTTTAGTAGGATCCTTGTGAATATGCGGTATTGTGGTATATGTTGGGTCGAATGGCGATGGATGAGTTCTTGTGATGATATAGTAAATTGTAATAAACGAACGGATTCCGAATCAGATTAGCTCGGTTTAGGACAGTCAGTGTTGACCAATGTCACCAGACTTCCCTATCGGACTTGTACCGAA